GCAGTGGGGAAAGGGGGTGGGAGCCAGGGAGCACATGGGAGGCAGGGAGCACTTAGCAGTGGGGTAAGGGAGTGGGAGTCAGGGGCGTGTGGCCATGAGGTATGGGGGTGGGAGCCAGGGGCTCATGACAGTGGGCAGGGTAGGAGATTGTGCTGGGGCGGATGCATAGGATGATGTGCGGTGGTTGGAGCAGAGGGTGATGAATTCACTGTGATTTTTAAGTAAATGGTGTCGCTGCTCCTGCTTAATCCTACTGGCACTGGCACTCTCCGTGCCCTCGAGGGAGGCAGGAAATGTGCCTCTAGGGTTGCCAGCTCTCCTGGGATTCTGCAGATTGTCCCACTTGTAACAGGGCCATGAAGCATCCTCACGTTGCCCTTCAAGCACACTCACAGAGGTCGCAGCCTCACTGCCCACACATCCATCAAAGTGCAGCCCAATTACCACATGGGCTGTGAAATCTAGAACAAGAGGTGCTGTAGTGCTAGCAGGGAGCATTTCTCTCTGCCACCTCCCCTTTTCCAAGGGGAGACTTCTGGGCATTTCTGGCATAGGTCATGTTAATAAAGCTGCACCCACAGCACTGATTGGGTTGCTGGTATATAGGGCTCTCCTACGACGCAGCTTTGAGGTGCACACCGAGAGCATGCAGTGCTATGCAGGGCTTTGATAATGGGGATATGGAGACTTCTACCTCCATAAAGATAAAAATCCAGCCCAGGTCAATAGTAATCAAAAGTCACCGTGATCTGATTGCTGTTTGGTGGCCTGTGTGAAATGAGTTTGTTGCTCTTGATCTATCTCCTAGTATATAAGTGTCCACATCACAATCGGTCCTGTTGTTGACATCCTTAGCAGAGAGATCAGGGCTACAGGTTGCAGCAGTTTGCATCTTCAATGACTCTTTTGGGGAGAAGTTTTTGGGTGCTGAGAGACATTCAGGCTGCAGCTCCCTGGAATTGGCAAACATGTGTTGAGTAGCTTCGCTTACTGCCAAGCCAGACAACTAGGTGGTGATGTTTTTTTCTCTTCTAGGTTCTGGGAAGATGGATGCAAAGAATTTGAATTCTGGTCCCATCTCTGTACTTATTACTGAGTCACCGTTTGCCCAGAGGTTCAGGTGCAGTATGGAGATGCAGATGGAGGGAGAAAGCTGAAAGACATTGTTGTACCTGTATTGAGCTGAACACATGGTCATTAACATGGCAAAATAGAGTAAAAAAAAAACTATCCTGTGGATCTGAGCTCACTTGAGTGGGAGCAGAACTCCTAGTTCCAGACTAGTACATTACTAGTAGTAATAATCTGCTTATATCAACACACAGCCCCAGCTTCAGAGCATTAGGGGCTGCAGTGGAATTCTCACTTTCACAAGTGATGGACCATTTGGTGGATCTCAGCCCAGTCCTTAATGGGCATTGATCCACTTCTCAAAACTAGCACATACTGTAAATTGGAATGATTGCCAGTACCCATTCATAGGAAGGCCAGGGTGATGAGAAGTCAGAAATGAGATACAGAGCTTGCACAGTCAGCACTTGCCTGTACTTTGCTTGGCTCAAGTCAGCACTGTCATCTCAAAGCCTTTACAAAGGTGGGTGGGTATCATCCCCATTTTACAGAGGGGACACTGAGGCACCCAGGGATGCAATGACTTGCCTGAGGTCACGCAGTGAGTCTTTCACAGAGTTGGGAATAGATTCAGCTCTCCTGACACTAGACCAGTGCAGTTTGTTACTCCAGGAGATGATGATCTCATCAGATCAGGACTGAACAATGTGTATAGAGCATTGCTTTCCTCAGGCTTACATAAGAGGGTTGCAGAAAGCCTAGAGGGTATAATGACAGATGAATAAATATCTGAATACATCCTTGGACTTGCAGGGAGTATTTGGAGAGCGAGAGGGTTCTGGATGTCTGCCATCGTGTGCAAAAGCTGCTGGATGGCACAGTGGCATTGCCTGTGCTGGGAGAGAAACTCACTGAGCAGCACCTGCAGGAGCTGCGGGAGAGCCTGCCCCCTGAGACGACATGCACACTGACGTGGGTTCAGGTCAGCAAAGCACTGGCTTCCTCAGTAGAATCAGGGGTAGGATTTACCATACCAGGCTCTTGTGCCCATATCCTGTCTCTGCAAATTGCTGTGTCCCCATGGGTTATTGGCATGCCAACCCCTTCCATAATGCACCTTAGCCATTTGTACAATATATCACTTGAAGACAGTGACATTCTTTTCTGACCCCTTCTGCCATCAGCTTAAGGGGAATTTGACTGAAATTCCCTGGGACTATCTTAGACTTGCCTGGCGCTGACAGGGAGCTCTTGGAAGCTAGGTAAAAGAGAAAGCAAGTTTCACTTTATAGTCCGATTCAGTTCCTATGTATTTTATTTAGGGCCCAGTCCTGCCAGCTGCTGAGCGTGCTCCATTCCTGTGGAAGATAGTGAGAGATGAGGCTGTTCAGCAGCTTGCAGGAAGCACCTGGGACCTCAGGATCAGGTTCCTTTTTCCTGTGAGCTTTGGAACATGTGCTGGGATTGTCTGAGTTCAGCAATGACAGGGCTGTCCGAGGTCAGGCAGTTCTACTCCTTCCTAGCAGGGTTTGATTGAATTCCTAAGTCTCAATTGAGGGGCTCCTTGGCACAGACCTTGTGGGTCACTGATGGAGCAGAGACTTTCACTCTAGTGCCGTGGGAGCTGGGATTGCAGGGAGCAGTAATATTCCATTTTAGCTGCTCTTCCGTGCCTGTCTGCATAGGGCTTACTAGTTGCTTCCCCCACAGCCGGCTGGGAAAATGCCCAGCACCAAAAAGAATAAATTCCTGCTGCATTAAACAAACAGACAAACCTCCCTGCTTTAAAAGGAGGAGCTTGTGCCCTCGTTGCAGGGTCCCCAGGCCCATCACAGTCTCCGGGAGCTGCCAGTGCGATGGGTAACTCATTGCTTTTATTTAGAGAGCAGTGGCTGCTCCAGCCTGAGGGACATTATCTGGAGATGGTGGATGTGGCCCATGGGTCCTGAAGCCCCTTCAGTCTGTTGTGGGTTAGTGCAGCCAGTATGATTGAAGAATCACACCCAATGAGCTGGACTTTCCAGTCCCTGGGGGAGGTAAAGGGAAATGACCCAGCACAGCAGCTGTGGGAGGGAGATTACCCTCCCCCCCCCACATATCCTGTCACAGCGCAGGGAGGGAGAGATCCTATCTCAGCATCAGTGTTTTTGTGTTTCTTTCCCAGAACCCCATTCCCTCAAAGGCAGCACGAGTCCAGTTGCCTGCCCGGAAGCTGTGCAGGGAGCTGCAGCATTTTGTGTCAGCCTCTGGGGGCACATGGTCAGATAAGCTGGAGGACGATCTCCCTCGTTCTTGGCAGCGGCACGGAGACCTCATCCTGCTGAGCGAGGACAGCTTCAGGGCTGCGTTGTGGAAGGAGCTGGGTAAGAGGGATCTGTGACTCTGTCTTCCAAGATGCACTGAACCAACCTTCTCTAACCCACCTGCTTGGGGCTCTCTTCCAGGACCAGAGCTCTGGGAAACAGTTGCTTCTGCTCTGGGCGCCCGACGCGTAGCCAAACGAGGGCGAATATCACCGGATGGAGTACGATCCCCAACAGTGACCCTGTTGCTGGGGCAGGATGGCTGGGTGGAGCATGTGGACAATGGAATCAGGTAGAAGGGTGGGATGGGGCATGGGCGGAAGAAGCAGGAAGGGGCTGTCGAGCCAAGATGCCCCTGGGAAGGGGTTACTGGCCAGCCCCATGTTGGCGGCTCTCACTGGGCCTATGGTGTTTTCCCAGATACACGTTCGATGTGACCAGGTGCATGTTCTCTCCTGGAAACATCACAGAGAAGCTGCGGGTGGCGTCTCTGCCATGTGCCGGGGAAGTGCTAGTGGATCTCTATGCAGGTAACTGTCCCTGGGGCCATGGGAAAGGCTGGCTTCCTCCTCTGAGTTTTGGGAATAATGCTATGCTCTGTCCATTCTGAGGAGTTTGCTGGGGCTCTGAGAGCAGAGCCTGTGGGCCGTGGATTACTGCTCCCCATTCTCCTGTCTGGAACCACCCCCAGCCCCAGATAACATAGACTGCCCTGTTGATCACAAGAATTCAGTTCATCCCAATGTTCATAATTTGCTCAGCACTATCCATCCAGTGGCATCCTCTACCCCATGCTTGCTGTAGTATCTGTCCAGTAGCCAATGCTGTGTGCTTAACAGCAGCTTCAGCCCCTGGAACCTTCTCCCTCTCCCCCTAAGCTCTGCCAACAGCCTCAATCCAGTATATCTCTGCTGCTGAGAATGAGGCCTTAACCCTGAGCCTGAGCACTTTGTTCCCACACTGGAGGTGCCTCTGGACTGTGCTGTCAGCGGCGTCTGTCTCCTGTGCCCTCAGGGATTGGCTATTTCACGGTGCCGTACCTGGTTCACGCCGGTGCTGCCTTTGTCCATGCCTGTGAGTGGAACCCCCATGCTGTGGAGGCCCTGAGAAAGAACCTGGAGCTGAATGGCGTGCAGGATCGATGTCAGATCCACCAAGGGGATAACAGGCAGGTGAGCAGAGAGCAACCCTTCCACAGCTGAGGGGCGCAATGGAGTCTTAGGGAGGGGAATTCCAAGGGTACAGCCCGTGCTGCTGAGACTCCTTAAGGGGGGTGATGTGCCTCTGAACTTTAACCCTGGCTCTAGATGTCACAGGAATTCCTTTCCCAGGAAACTGCTCTTCTCCCCGCATCCCTCTCCTCTTTCTGATGTGGCAGAGCTTCTTCCCCATGGTACAAGGGATGGGAGCAAAGGTCCAAAGAATCTATGTGTGGGAGGCAGACTCTGTTATGTATGCAAACTGTAGGAGACAGGGATCTGGTGCACTGAGGTCTGATCAGACGGACTCGGTAGTTTTATAGCGCACAGATGAGAAGGACCTAATACAGGGGGTCTCAAACACGCGGCCCGCGGGCCGCATACGGCCCGTGGGGTTCTTTCATACGGCCCGCCAAGCTCCCCGCCCCCCCACCCCCCCCCGCCTACCCCGTGCCGCCGCAAGCCCCGCTCCGCTCCCTGAAGCGGCTGAACTACTGTATGTCCCTGCAGCCCCGGGCAGGGAGGTGGGAGTAGAGGGCTCCGTGCTCTTGCAGCTCCCATTGGCTGGGAACTGGGAACCGCGGCCAATGGGAGCTTTGGGGGAGGTACCTGGAGGAGCAGCAAGAGCAGCACATGGCACCCCTCCCCACCCCCAAGGACTCCGGCTGCTTCCTGGAGCGGAGCAGAGTGGGGCTGGGGACAGGGCAGGCAGGCAGGGAGCCTGCCCTGGCTGCAGTGCGCGGCGCTGCCACCCCAGATCCGCTCTAGGTAAGCAGCGCCGGGCCGGAGCCCGTACCCCGCACCCCTTCTGCACACCAACCCCCTGCCCGGAGCCCCCTGCCACATCCCACACCCCTCCTGCACTCCAACTCCCTGCCCTGAGCCCCCTGCCACACACTGCACCCCTCATGCACCCCAACCCCCTGCCTGGAGCCCCTTGCCACACACTGCACCCCAGCCCCCTGCTGTACCCCTCACCCCTCCCGCACCCCAACTCTCTGCCCAGAGCCCCCTGCCATACCCTGCACACCTCCTGCACCTCAACTCCCTGCCCTGAACCCCTGCCACACCCCACACCTCAATTCCCTGCAGTACCCTGCACACCTCCTGCACCTCAACTCCCTGCCCTGAACCCCCGCCGCACCCTCCTGCACCCCCTGGGGGCCGGGAGGGGGCAGAGTTGGTGTGAGGACTTCGGGGAAGGGGTTGGAATGGGGGCAGGGAATGAGCGGGAAGAGGCGAGGCGGGGCCTCATGGAAGGAGTGGAGTGGGGATGGGGCCAGGGGCAGCAAGTGGGGGGGTGTCAGTGATGCGGCCCTTGGGCCAATGCACTAGTCCTCATGCGGCCCCCGGGGTCATCTGAGTTTGAGACCCCTGACCTAATAGGTCCCATCTCCTGGAGGGCTTGGGGTGTGTATTCCAGGGCAGTGTCCAGTGCCCAAAGCAATGGGACTGCATACCCTTACCTTCCCTTAGGAAACTGTAGATCTGACTCCTGTCTGGCTAGCCAGCAGGCCCAGCTCATCCTATTGCTTTCAGAGACATCCCCATGTGCCATCCTAAATAACTCTCACATGTTAAACACTTGCCCCGGTTATCAGACCCCGCTACATCCTTACTAGTTGTTCTGGCCAAGCTGTTTATATCTGACTGAGCGAAGTCAGGCTCGACACTCAACTTCATTATTGTTATTTGTGTTACCTTAGTGCCTAGCAGCCCTAGCCAGGGACCGGTGCCCCCAGGTGCTAACTGCTGCACAAACACAGATGGTCCCTGAAACAAAGAGCATTCAATCTATCTTGATGACCTTTCTCTGTCTGTCCGTAACATGATAACTTTTGAATGCTGCAGCCAAGCAGTTCAAATTTCAGGGAATGTTCTCAGCCTCAATGTAATTGTCTGTAGATCAAAGAGCCATCTGATGGCAGCCAGTATCCTCAGATCACCTCTGTACAGCCTCCCAATACAGTTTAAAATGTGTCAGAATGACACAACAAAATGAGAATGGTGGGGAGAAGGAGGGCACCAAGTCCCTAGCATGGGGAGAATGGGAGACCCGGGAATGGGGGAGAAGGAGGTCCTGAGGGGCACACTGAGCCCCCTGACTTGGGGGAGGAGGTGGGGGTGGGTTGCAGGGAGTCCCTGAAATAGAGGGGAATGGGAAGGTGGCACACAGGGAGCTTGTTGAGGGAAATGGAGGGATGCAAGGAGCATGTGCAATGAGCTCGGCCTAGAGAAGCAATGATGCATGCGACCTGCTAGTTAATTCTCAGGTAGGATGGCGGGGCTCTGAGGAGGTACAAGAGCAGTGGTGGGGCTTCATGGTTCTGGCGAAAACGTTATATATTACTCCCAACTCGGAGCAAGAGCGTGCGAGCAGTGCCCACTTTCACCCACCCCCTTCCTATGGTAGATGGCAAGAGACAGAGCTGTGGCAACCTTTATATACTGTTATGTTCCCCCGAGGGAAAGAGAACCTCTCCATGCCCTGCAGTGCCTTGCTTGGTGTATTTTCCCCTCCCTGACGTGGGGCCCTCTGTAGTGTATGTCCTTTCACCATGCCATCCTCCTCTTTCTCACCTCCCCCTGTTGTTTCCAGCTGGAGTTGCGGGACGTGGCCAACAGGGTGAATCTGGGGCTGCTCCCCAACTCGGAGGAGGGCTGGCCTATTGCCTGCCAGCTTTTGCGGAAGGGCACAGGGGGCATTCTCCACATCCACCAGAACGTGGAGTCCTTCCCAGCAAAGGCTCATTTGCATAGTGGCCACTTGGAGAAGCAGCAGCTGCAGCAATGTCCAGAGCAAGCCGTATCCAACAGGCAGGAGGACAAAATGAGCCAAAGGAACCACAGGAGCCCAAAGGATGCTGACATCATGGATCCTGGGAGGGAGACCCAGGCAGTTGCGACCAGGGCCGAGTGGCAGAGGTGGGCAGAGACCACAGGAACGCGGATCAGGGTTCTGCTTCAGCAGCTACATGGGAAGCCTTGGAGGACAAACATTCTGCACATTGAGCCAGTGAAATCCTACGCACCCCATGTGTATCACATAGTCCTGGATCTGGAGTGCCGCCCCCTCTCTTAGTACACAGGGAGAGTGGACTGCACCTTTGGGTTCCCCAGGAATGTCGCCTTCTCCGCTAGCAAATGCGCAGGGGGAGCTCAGGGCCCAAGCCTGAGAAGTGCACAAAGCCTACACAAAGATGAGTGCTCCCAGCTGGCACCCTGTGAACTGGTTCAGTCTGACACTGGTCTTTGCCTTCAGCCCTCATGGGACCCCTCTTCTCTCCAGACTGGCCTGTAACAGCTTGACCTGACCATCATGGTGCTCCCTGCAGCTGGTGCATTCACTGCTCTCTGTGAGCTTCATTCTATTTCCATTTCCTGCAACCAGGTAAAACATTTGTTGTAAGTTTTATCTGCATGGGTCGTGTCTTGCTGTTTTTCCCAGCGGGATGGCAGAGTTCTCCAGCACTCAGCTCCAAACTCTGTTCTCACCACTAATGCCAGCAAGAGACCTGGGCTTGTGAACTTAGCAGAATGTCTGAGTTAAGATTCACCAATTGAGCCAGAGAGCATCTTAGTCCTGCACAGAGGTTGCCACTGGTGCCAGGCTGTGGGCAAATTGTGTCTCTGTGACCACTAGGACCTAGGCTGAGACTCACCAGACTTACTGCCCTTGTGATCTAATCAGAAAATGCTGAGCGCTTTGCTCATGGTATTCATTTGTTGTGAGCATGTGAAGAGCTCCAGGACGTAGTGTAGTCCCTGTGGGCTGACCTTGCTCCCTCCGCTGCTGTCCTGGTCTATTCCAATTTACCGCACTACGATCCTGATCTTGCAGTGAGCCCCTGTACAGGCAGATCCCCACTGATGTAAGTGGGGCTCAGTGTGGAGCCAGTTGCAGGATCGGGCCCTATGTACTTTATCACACAACAGATATGAACTTTCCTGTTTCTTAGCATCTAAGGGGGCTTGTTAATCCTCTTGTTCCAAGCCTGGATCTGAAGTTGCTAAGATGTTTGCCCACAAGTTTCAGGAAGCCCGGGCAAGCAATTCCTCTGCTGCTACTTGGGATTTTTGGCCTGTCTCTGTTTAAAATAGTGAGAAATGAATGAATATAGTGCTACTGAAAGGTGCCAAACTGAGATCCCCGGAGACCAAAGCCTCTCCCCATAGAACAGGTGCAGAGTCAGTGCAAGATTTCCCCACCCAGCAATTCTGCCTCACTCCTGCCCTGGATGGAACATAGGAACTGCCAAACTGGGTCATGCCAGTGGTGTATCTAGTCTCCCATCTCCAGCAGTGGCCAGTGCAAGCTGCTTCGGAGGAGGGTGCAAGAAACCCTGCAGAAAGCAGTTATGAAATATCCTGCCCACAATAATAATTTCTTCCTAATCCCTGTTTGTTAGAGGCTGGTTTGTGCCCTGAAGCAGGAGGGTTTAAATCCCTTCCAAACCTCTGCATTATTTGTAACCCTCACCATTCTAACTGACCTGAGCAAGGATTGGCATCACAAGTGAGATCTTGTGGCAGGTGAATTGTGTACTGTGTGGAAAAGGTATTTCCTTTTATCAGTTTTTAATTCACCACCTTTTGCTTTCGTTTTGTGTCCCCTTTTTCTTCTACAGCGAGAGAGGGTGAAGAAAAGCTCCTGACCTGCCTTCTCAATAGCGTTCATTGCCACCTTCTCTCTAGTGATTAATGCTAAGAGGGTAGCTGCCCATTTAATCCTTGGCCTTGATTTAGAAACTGCCAAATAAGAAGCCATTTGGGACATTGGGCTTTTCAAAGGGGCCACCTGTTCACTAGGAACTGAACTGGAACCACCACATTGTTTTCACATAACCTACTGCTCAGCAGCCATGCAATGGCAATGACTTCCGGTTGCTACTGACCTAGGCTGCAGTCAGGCCTGTGACAAGAGGTGAATGGCTCTGGATTAGGGCTGTCGATTAATCGCAGTTAACTCACGCGATTAACTCAAAAAAATTAATCGCAATTAATCGCAGGTTTAATCGCACTGTTAAACAATAGAATACCAATTGAAATTTATTAAATATTTTGGATGTTTTTCTACATTTTCATATATATTGTATTCTGTGTTGTAATTGAAATCAAAGTGTGTATTTTTGATTACAAATATTTGCACTGTAAAAATGATAAAAGAAATAGTATTTTTCAATTCACCTCATAGAAGTACTGTAGTGCAATCTCTTTGTAGTGAAAGTGCAATTTACAAATGTAGATTTTTTTTTGTTACATAACTGCGCTCAAAAACAAAACAATGTAAAACTTCAGAGCCTACTAGTCCACTCAGTCCTACTTTTTGTTCAGCCAATCGCTTAGACAGTCAAGTTTGTTTACATTTACAGGAGATAATGCTGCCCTCTTCTTATTTACAATGTTACCAGATTGTGAGAACAGGCATTTGCATGGCACTTTTGTAGCCAGCATTGCAAGGTATTTACATGCCAGATTATGCTAAACGTTTGTATGCCCCATCATGCTTTGGCCACTGTCAAACTTCCTGAGTTAAGATATAGCTGACGCTGCATGTTGCCCTTCTTCTATCTCCCATGTGTACGTGACAAATTTGCCCCCTGGCAGTTAAGTAGAATAATTTTATTTCAGCCACCATTTCAGAAGACATGCGTCCATGCTGATGACGCTCATTAAAAAAAAATGCGTTAATTAAATTTGTGACTGAACTCTTGGGTAGAGAATTGTATGTCCCCTGCTCTGTTTTACCTGCATTTTGCCATATATTTCATGTTATAGCAATCTCGGATGATGACCCAGCACATGTTCATTTTAAGAACACTTTCACTGCAGATTTTACAAAATGCAAAGAAGGTACCAATGTGAGATTTCTAAAACAGCTACAGCACTCGACCCAAGGTTTAAGAATCTGAAGTGCCTTCCAAAATCTGAGAGGAACGGGGTGTGGAGAATGCTTTCAGAAATCTTAAAAGAGCAACACTCCAATGCAGAAACTACAGAACCCGAACCACCAAAAAAGAAAATCAACCTTCTGCTGGTGGCATCTGACTCAGTTAATGAAAATGAACATGCATCGGTCTGCTCTGCTTTGGATCGTTATTGAGCAGAACCCGTCGTCAGCATGGAAGGCATGTCCCCGGGAATGGTGGTTGAAGCATGAAGGGACATATGAATATTTAGCTCATCTGGCATGTAAATATCTTGCGACATTTGCTACCACAGTGCCATGTGCATGCCTGTTCTCACTTTCAGGTGACACTGTAAACAAGAAGGGGGCAGCATTTTCTCCTGCAAATGTAACCAAACTTGTGTGTCTGAGCGACTGGTTGAATGAGAAGTAAGACTGAGTGGCTTTTTCCTTTCCCGATTTATCTGAGTTAGCTGCCCAAATCAAAGATGGTCGCCGTGTGCGCTGAGCCCTGGCACAGGGGAAGAGTGGCAGCGAGAATCAGCTACCCTAGCTGCTCCAGATCAGCTCTGTGTTTTCCTCCAAATGTCACTTGCTGTTCCTTCACGAAGTTCTTATGTGCGAAGGGGCTGCTCCCTCTACACCTCGGGATCCTGTTGGCCAGGCACATAGTTTTGGGAAGGCAAGCCGATGGGGGAGCCCAATGGTGTCACACAAGCCGATGTGTCAGCATAGGAAGTGGACAGTCAGGAGTGAAAAAAAATTACCACCCTGCCCTTGAGATGAGCGAGACAGTTGCTGCCCTTCTTTGTTAGGTAGTTACTAGTTGGTACCCACAGAAAATGCATGGAATTGAGAGATCACACGTTGCTCCCTGTTCTCATTTGCTCCTCTTCTCTTGCCCATTGTTTATTTGTGACTGGCAGTGTACCAAGGTGTAGAGGTTGGCCCTTGCTCAGGAAACAGAGGAGTCGGTTGGTGTATTTAGCTTTGAATTCTGATTGCAGACCCGAAGCTGTACTGTTCACCTGCATGTCCCTGGTCACGAGAACCGTGATATCCAAATGGCAGAGCCTTTCATTTCGAGTAGATGCAGGGAAACAAGGGAAATGATGAAACAGGTCACAGATATGCAGCTTTTTCAATAACACGAGATTCTTCCACAGTGAACAATCAATGAACAACCCCTGCTGGACAGGGGAAGTGGCTGAAATGTGTACAACTGCAGGCAGGGCCGACTTTAGGCCAATTCAACCAATTCCCCTGAATCGGGCCCCGCGCCCAAGCCCCGGTACGGCGTACTGTCGTGGCCTGGCTTCCCCAGGGGGCTATTTAAAGGGCCGGGGCTCCAGCTGCCTTTGCTGCAACCCCTGCCTGCACCAGCCCCGCACTCCCTCCCCTGCCCGCAGCCAGCCCCTGCTGCACCCTCTGCCC